CCTTGGGTTTAATTAGACAGCTGCTTGTTTAGTGCCAGGATATGAATGCCACCGTTGCACCCTTATGGATGTTTTGCCATGCTGGTCAGTATTGTGGCTCATATGTGTCACAGCTGGGCAGGACTATTGATTGCTTCCCTCCCTTAGCAGCTTGTGTCTTAATATGTTTCCTATGATTGTTTTTAAATAAAAATTCAGGCAGTAATTGAAAATCTTAGTGACTTAAAATTTTATTACCACAAATCTAAGAAGGTACAACTTAGGTGAATTTTCTAAATGCTTTTTTAAAAAATAACACCTAACACATTAAGCAGTTATTTTCCTTGTAAGCTTCTGAAGCCTTTACATATATGATCTTGCTTAATCAAACAATATAACAAGGTAGATGGCTACTTTTAATATAACCATCTCTCATTACAAAAAAAAAAGGTTCAGGAACTTGATGGGGAATGTTCTTTTTTTATTTTTAACTCCTTTTTATTTTAATTAGAAAATTATTTTATATGTCAAACCCAGGTCCCTTTCCTCCCCTCCTCCCCTGCCCCCCACCAACTAACACCCTACCTATCCCATACCCTTTCTGCTCCCAGGGGAGGGTTAGGCCTTCCATAGAGGGTCTTCAAAGTCTATCTTATTCTTTGAGATAGGGCCTAGGCCAACTCCCTTGTGTCTAGGCTCAGGGAGTATCCCTCCATGTGGGATGGGCTCCCAAAGTCCATTCCTATGCTAGGGATATTCTTCTGTGTATATGGTTTGTCTTATTGGTTGATGAATAAAACACTGATTGGCCAGGCAGGATGATAGGACTAGGAGACAAGGAGGAGTCTGGGAAGTGTAGGCAGAGAGGAGTTGTCATGTGACCCTGGAGGGGATGTAGCTGGGCAGAATCAGTATATAAGCAGGGACAAATTGCTCTCTTCTTTGCAGAGATGCTCAACAGTCGAGATGTAGGACGCCAGAGAAGTAAGAGGTCCCTGGACCTTTCTCCGGTAAGATAAGGCAGAGAAAGGTGGCTGCAGAGTCGGGCCAGAAAGCTTATCCAATTTCAAGTGTTTTAGTCACTGTTCTGTTGCTGTGAAGAGACACTTACAACCAGGGAAACTCATCATGGCAGCATGCATTGTATTGGAGCAGTAGCTGAAAACTGTATTTTGATCCACAGGCCAAGTGAGAAAACAGGGCCCAACATGGACTTTTGAAACCTCAGATCCCACCTCCAGTGACACACTTTGCTCCAACAAGGCCACACCTGCTGAAACAGTGCTACACTTCCTAATCCTTCTCAAAGAGTTCTACTCTGGATGACTAAGCTTTCAAATATATGAGCCTGTGGGGCCATTCTTATTCAAACAACTACACCAAGTAAAATGGTACATGTGGGATTTGAACTCAGGAAGTTTGTCTTTATTAAGCCTTGCTTTCAGTCACTAAGATGCTCTGCTTGACATGAACTGGTAGAAGATTCTTTCCTTATTCATTCCTTGTGCAGGTGACATCTTGGTAATGTAGAGGAATAAATGAAGTTAGGACTTTGTTTTAATACCACTTACTTTTGTGGCATTCATTCAGTGGAGGAGGGGGTCACCCTAAACCCAGTCCCCAGGAGACGCTTTCATAAGAATCATGAAAATCCTGGTGCTGATTATCTGCTTGAATCCAGCTTAGCTATTTCATATTTGAGAGTTTCACACACTGTATTTTGATATTTATTTCTTCCATACTACCAGGTCTTCCCTTCTCTACCCACTCACCTGAGTGCCCTCTTTTTATTTTATTATTTTCCCATCAAATTCACTTTGTGCTATCTGTATATTCTCGGATGTGTGGCTTTCCACCAGAGCATGACTGACTAAGAGGTGATACGTTTAAAGAAAGCTAGCTCTCCCTCTTCCAGCAGCTACAATTGCTAGTAGTTCCTCACCCAGTGGGTGGGACTGTGTGTCCACCTCCCCTCTTCATGCTAGTATTTGGTCTAACTTAAACTTGCATGTGGTTTGTGCATGTTGTCACTATTCCCATGAGTTCACATGTACAGCTGCCTTTTCATGTCTGGAGGATATTGCTTCCTTGTATCTATCAACCACCTCTGACTGTTACAGTCTTTTTTTACTCCTCCTTCACAGTGATCCCTGAGCATTGGGAGGAGAGGATTTGATACAAATGTCCCATTTTGGACTGAGAATTCCCTAGTCTCATATTTTCTGTACCTTGGTCAGTTGTAGGTTGCTTTGTTAATCACCATGTATTGCAAATAGAAGCTTTTCTGATGAAGTTTGAGAGATGCATCAATCTATGTATGTAACACTAAGTCATTAGGAGTTTACTTCTGTGTCATTTAGCTGTTCTCCCCGAGACCTATGACATGTTTAGCTGCAGATTCTTGTCCCTGTAATGGTGCTAGGTATGGGTATCATGTTGTGGAGAGTGTGGTAAATACAGTCAGAAAGTGGTGGTGTTTCCCATTATGTTTGTGTCACTATTGCAGCAGTGCCAAAGCCTTGCCAGTCAGTCATCATTTTAACATGCAGGGTTCACAGATGGGTAAGATTAATGATTACTTTTCTCTTCCAACCGTAATTGATGGTAAGACCCTATCAGCTTGGACCAGCAGGCTGTTCTTCAGTGACAGATCTGTGAGTGGGTGGACCTGGGATGAAAAAATAAAGAAGACAGGAAACTTGGGGTCATGAGGTCTTGCATAAGCTGATGCCTTATGCCAAGCAAGTTTACTAAGAATTATAGCATCTTATATACAATTTGCAGGGGGAAAAGTGGTACAGAGTCAGCAGAAAGCTAATGGGATGAAGTCAGCAGGAAGCTAATCAAGCAGTGTTGTACAAAAGGAACTCAGGATATCTCAAGTGTGTCACAGACTGAACACACAGTGGCCTTGGGACTGATAACCATAGCCTCCTTGGGAGAGTCGTTAGATTCCCAGGATGAGAAGTTGCTGCTCCCCCGATGCCCTGGCTTCAGGCCATTACTAGCCTTGTCAAGCATATTATGGTTTTAGACAAGGAACTACTACATTACTTCTCCATTTATCAGGGCATCAGGTAAAGCATTGGATCACCCTGCTCCCAATCCCTGTTGCTGAAGACACCATATACTTGGGTCATAGAACAAGGAAAATAAAAGCTGATTCTGACCTGGAAGCTCTGTCCCTTATGACTAGCTTTCATACTGCTGGAAGGTGCTGCACATGCTACTGAAGGAAAAAAGGAACCATCAAATTTCTTAGCTATTTTTGTCAGTGACAGCCTCATTCCATAAGTATTCTAGGGAAAGGTTTATTTACATCTAGAATTCTCCATTGCTCCATCCCAACTGTGGTGGTTTGAATGAAATGGCTCCCATAGGATCACATATGTGAATGCCTGGTCCCCAGTTGGTGGAACTGTTTTGGAAGAGTTAGGAGGTGTGGTCTTGTAGGAAGTGTGTCACTGGCAGAGGGCTTAGTTCCCGGCCCAGCCCCTGTCTGAGTAGGGTCTCTCTCTCTCTCTCTCTCTCTCTCTCCCTCTCCCTCTCTCCCTTCCTCTCCCCTTCCTCCCTCTCTCCCTCCTGTGGATCAGATGTAAGCTGTCAGCAAAAGCTAATGCCTGTCTGCTGCCATCCTCCCTGCCATGATGGTCAAAGGCTAGCCCACTGAAACTGAACAACTCCCCATTTTAATTATTTCATTTATAACTTGACTTGGTTATGCTGGTGCTTCACAGCAATAGAAAAGTAAGACACCAACACTTAGGAACCTTTTGAAGTACATAAGATTTATATATTTGAGAGGCTAGATTTTTATTAAAGGTTAGAAAGTACAATAGTAAAAGATGTTAGTTTGAAATAACAAAAAATAACAGGAAGTAAATCGTTATGCATTTGCTAGGCCTTTCCTGAATACTAAATGAATGCTCATGAATACTAAATGTCCTCTGCTGTATCAACAAATGAGTACTACTTTGTGTGCCCCCTTAGAACCATTAGGAATGGTAACGTTTCAAGTGCACCCCCAAAGGTTCCTATTGCTTAGCTTTTAGCTTGTAGGATGTCAAATTAGAAGGGCTTTATATCGGGAACTCTGCTCTGAGAGTGTTAACAAAGATTCCCAAAGTAGGAGCTCAAACAATATAGAAGCTTATTTTGGCTCTTACGTAGAAGAAATTTAAGCCAGGCGTGGTGCAGGGGCAGATGAACTTCTGTGAGGTAAAGACCAGCCTGGGCTTCATTGGGAATTCCAGGTCAGTCAAAGCTACATATAGTAAGTCTTGTCTCAAAGAAAACAAAACAAACAAGCAAACAAAACCAAGAGTCTAGCAATTTCATACTTACCACGGACCCTAGCTAATTGTTTCATTGCTATGTAGTGCCCACCACCCATTCATGGGATGCCTCAAAGTGGCTATTACTGTGCAAGCCTGGCATCCAGACAGGTGGCAGGAGGAAGGCAAGGAAGGCAGAAAGAGCTCCTAGTAGTTGCAATTCCACTGTAAGCTGCTTCTCTGGAAATCCACTCCTCTACTAACCTATATTTTTACTGGCTGGGACATAAAGTCTGCAACAACAGCTAGTTATAAAAAAGAGTTTGGTAATAGAGTGTGGCTACCCAGAATAAGGCTGCTTGGGGGAAGAGGAGGGAAGGTGGAAAGCAGCCATCAGCTGGTATCTTGCCACTCCAAGAAAATGCTTGACCTGTATTACCCAGAAGGCTTGCAGGTGCTTCCAATGATAAATTGGATAAAATTATATTAAATCAGTCTAAGATTCATCTGAGGTGTCCTTGTATTTATTCCTCAGAATCTTTTCCTAACCTTTGGATATTTCAGAATATTATTGCCTGCATATTTGATAAGGCAATTTTCTCTCTAGATGTGAATTATATCAGCTATTGAAATGCTGTACTTAAAATTAAAAAATTTGTAGGCTATAGCATTTAACATTTGGTTTTGATATTAGCAGTTTTATAACATTGATCTCTTTTTATGTCTTTTCCAAATTTTCTCTTACAGTATAGCTGAAATACAAAAAGATGTAGAATACAGATTGCCATTCACAGTAAACAACTTAACAATTAACATAAATATGTAAGTAGAATTCTATTTTTATGTATTAGTTTTTAATTTTTGCTGTGTGTTTTAATAGTCAGACAATATTAATGTGTGAATAGAATTATAATCTATATTTCATGTAATAGGAACTAACTTTTTGGTTTTGATTCTAGTTAATATCAGACATAAGCTGTTTAAATAAACTTATTCAAAGTAACAGTAACATAAAGTAGTGCTCATTTTTTGTGAAATAAAAACTAGATGGCTCATTGCTTATCACATGGACACAGGAGGCCTTATTAAATTCTAGTTCTCTGAATAAATCAGAGGATAGATATATAGCTCTGGCAAGAATTAAACTACTTAACTTGACAAATATGACCTTTATGAATCTGTATAGTAGCCTTACAAATTAAGATGTATTATAGACTCATAATGAATGACTGTGACATGAAATCATTGTCTGGTTCTAAAGGCCACTTATTGCCTCTTTTACAAACTGATTTAAAAATCTTGAGCTATAAAAACAAGAAAAAAACAAAAAAACCTTCAGCAGTATAAATGAATTCATTGACTTTTCCATCCAATGCCCAGGCAGATGTAGATAGGAGAGTCCAACAAAATCCAATTTTTTATTTATTTATTTTTCAAGACGGGTTTCTCCATAGCTTTGTAGATCAAGGCTGGTCTTAATGTCACAGATACCCACCTGTCTGCCTTCCAAGTGCTGGAATTAAAGGAGTCAAAATCCAGTTTTTGATAATGCTGTCAAGAGTACTTTCCTTAGCCAATATATGAGCAGAAAAGCTTAAAGGGAAATATTCCGAGTTTTCAAAACTTGGAAAATAGAGTTCTGGATTTAATAAATTTTACCAAAATATTTCATAAGCTAATCTTAATTTGATAGTACTTAAAAGGTTAGGTCTTTTTACTTTTGAATTATAAGCTTTTTATTCTTACTTGAAACCACATGATTTTACTTCAGTGTGAGGACAGGTGTTAGCTCAGCATTTAGGAATTAGATAACGGAAGGCTCAATGACAAGTGCAGTAAGTAGTTCAGTCCTAGTTACTTGCTTTACCCCTTTTCTCTTTATAGTGCATGATGCTGAGGTAATTCTATGTAGGGTTTCATAAGTGAAACACACACATAGCCAGAGCTATAATCCACTAAATAGCCAGGTGGGGTTTTGCATGATTTGGTGTACATGTGTGCAATCGATTTTTTACCCGAGATTTTCATTTAGCAAATTACATTATCTTTGAAATCAATTCATTGACATGCTAAAAAGACTGTTATATAATACATAGAACGCATATTCCATGTTAAAAAGAATATTGTATTGAATTACTGTGTTATCTTATTGCCAAAACATAGCCTTTCAGTCTGCTGAATATCTATAATAAAGCACTTGTCACTAAAGAATTAATCCATGTAAGTCACTGTGAAAGTTTAATTTGCTTTTAAGTAGCTTTGTTTTAGGATTATGGTCACATGATATACTGTTTTTCATTTGTTTGTGTTTTTTTTGTGTGTATTATTCCTTTACTAGATTACTTCCTCCACAATTTCCTCAGGAAAAACCAGTGATTAGTGTTTATCCACCAATAAGACATCACTTAATGGATAACCAAGGATTATATGTTACCTCGCCATTAGTAAGCAATGTATGTATATGCTACAGTTTATTTCAGAATAATCTTAACACATTTATTACATTTTTGCCTAGAAATCTGAAGTGTACTGAATTTTTCATTTTGAAGTTAGTAATCTTAAAAGCTTCCTTAAATAATACTATTTACTTAAGCCTATGACTTGAAGTTTTTGGATACAATGTGGTTAATTAATGTGTCAAGATTAATGTGACAATGATTATTTAACTTAAATATACCTCTGAACAACCCCAAATTATTGTAAAGTGTGAAGTACAGGTATATTTTAGCTCCATTATTGAGGAATAGACTTTTAACCTGATTTGTTAATTACCAAATAACTTACAGCATCGATTCTATAAGAAAGTGTTGTAAGTCATGGATTGATTTATGTTGTTAGTATGTTGACACAGTACTCTTTGCTTTTCTGTTTATTTTTCTTTATTTTATGTGTGTTAGTGTTGTACTTACAAGTACACCACATGTGTGCAGTGCCCACAGAGGCCAGAGGAGAACATCACATTACCTAAAACTGAAGTTACAGAGGTTTTGAGCTGCCATGTAGGTGCTAGGAGCCCAACCTGGGTCCTCTGCAAAACATTAATTGCTCTTACCCACTGAGTAACCCTTTTTCCTATTTATTCTTACCCACAAACATTGGTTAAGATTTCAATGACATCTGTTCCCATAAAATTTTGTCATCCTGTTTTGAGAGGTTATTTTGTAATTATGTATTACTGTTACTTTCAGTTTACAATGCACTCAGATCTTGGAAAAATTGTTCAAAGTCTTTTGGATGAGTTCTGGAAGAATCCTCCAGTTTTAGCTCCTACTTCAACAGCATTTCCATAGTAAGTATATTTATAGTATGTAACTTTAGCACATATTTTTTATTTATCACAATTGTAATTTAAAGGAATTGATGTTTAAATCAAAGATAGCCTTCTGATTGCCACATACTCACCCTTCATGCCCAGAAGCCCAAAGTTTTCAGTGGGGGCTGTGTATTTCTCTTGTAACTGTTTATTCACACATTCTCTTTCTGATAATAGGTACATGGTACTATTCTTGAGTTTCTTTTTGGTTATTTCCTATGGGCCTCTTACTATAATAGGTGAGGGTTTTAACTGTCAACAAAATTTCCCCTCTCCTCCTCCTTAGTGAAATTATATCATGATTTCTACATAAATCTATTTGGTTTGTTACATGACTCTTTAAGTATTAAGCCGTTGCTGAGCCAAACCTTAAAAGCATTCTCTCACCAGCCTTCCTGGAAGCCCTATAGGTTTGTTGTTGTTGTCTAAAAAGCAAAAAAGGCCATTAGATCTTTAAACATCTATAGGTCAGAAGCAGGTGGAAAAAACCACATACTAGCACAAATAGATCTATCTTTTTTCTGTGTGTCCTAGGAATTAATCCCAAGGTCTGTGTGTGCTATGCTGTCTTTACCACTGAGCTGTGACTCTAGCTCACTCATCTTTCTTTCTGAAATTCCTTCTAAGTCTGATATTGCATCTCTTAGAGCTATCTTGTTTTCTTATTGTGCATTTTAATATTTTTTTTGACAAATACTACAACATTGTTCTCTAACATAGTTACTATACCAGTGCTTACTTACATACACAATGCCCATTTATCCATGCCCATTTCCAGTATGGGATATTGTCAAAGTAGATCTTTGCCCGTTTCGTAAGCATAAAAAATGCTTATTTAATTTTAGTTGTTATCCAACAGTTAAATTGAGCATCATTTCCTGTTTTTAAAATGCCTAATTTTATGGATCTGTAGACCTCTTTCTGTTAAGTTGTTGGAAATTATATATTAGAGAAATTGTCCTTCTATGTGTGATATGACTTTCACTGTTCTCATCTTGATTTATGTTAGTTATGTTAGTTGGTGGTGCTGGGGATAGGGCCCAGGCCGTGTTTTGGTTTTTCGAGACAGGGTTTATCTGTGTAACTGGAACTTACTCTGTAGACCAGGTTGGCTATGAATTCCCAGAGCGCCTGTCTCTGTCTCCCGAATGCTGAGATTAAAAGTGTGTGCCACCATAGCCCAACTAATTTTGTTTTTGCTAGAATTTGTCAATATTTTCTCTTACAACTCTTGAATATGGAATTATAGAAATCCCTTCATACCTTTCCTGATTTAAGGTTGAAATATTCCAAAGATTTACTTTAGTCCAAGATTTTAAAAGCTGTATAATCCTTGATCTATCAGTTTTTATCCTATTGTAAACATGAGCCCTTGGCTCTTACTTACCTTTTGCCAAATAGTACCACACTGTTTTTCAACTACTCTGTTTTTATTTCCAAACTTATATTTATTTCAAAATCTTCCTAGCCATTCACCAATGTTGTGCTTTTATTTGTTAATTGTATAATTAAGGTCCTATACCTTATTTTGCTGTGTGGAAGAGGTAACATCTCTTTATTTTCCTCTTTCAAATTATTTTCTATCTCATCTTGCATATTTTCCATGTAAACTTTTAGTGTCACTAAGGGAATACTTTAAAATCCCATAATGGATGTTTTCTTCTAATAAAATGTTCCGCTCAGCTGTGTGGTGGTGATCCCAGCACTTAGGAGGCAGAGTCAGGTCAATATCAGTAAATTCAAGGTCAGCCTGTAAAGTGAAATATTTTAATAGTTATTAGTGTTATCTCCAAAAATCTACCTCAGCCTCTCTTCTTTTATATGAGAATGACTGATTGAGTTATTAACTCAGATGTTTGCATTTATATGAATCTTCAGTGTTCATCTGTGCCTGAAGTTCTCCTGATTCTTTTATAATTTAATTTCTCCTCAATTTTTTTGTTGGTTTGTTGGTTTTGAGACAAGGCCTATCTATGTAGCCCTATGGTCTAGAACTCTTTGCAGACATGGCAGACATTTCAAGGCATGGCCTTGAACTCAGAAATTTGCTTGCTTCCACTCCCTAGTGCTGATATTAAAGGTGTGGGCCATTGAAGCTGTCTTCTTCTCACTTTAATGGGAGGAAAGATGTTCATTTTAAAACATCTTGCTAAAATATTGACTAAATTACTATCTGATCAAGTAAATGGTTTGCTACTCTTTAAAATATATGTTTGTGTTTACACATGATTCTGTTTGTAATGTTTTTTAACATTTTAGTAGCTCATGTGTATATTTAATTTTTCTTTCAAAATCTCTAGAAAAACAGTCTCAACTTTAAGGTAGATTTTGCCCAACATCAAAAGCCTCCTAGCAGCATTCACTTGCATAAATTTTCTGGATAAAATGCTCTCCATAAAGAAACAAAACTAAATGATGTCACTGGAATACTGAAAACTCAATAATGACTAATATGTCTTTTTACAGAGAGGAATTGGATTGTTTGCTTTCTGGAGCATTTTTCCTTCTTTTCATAGAAATCACCCTTTATTTTTGAGATCTTGTTGTTTATAATTTATATAATTTAATTATGAAACATTTGCCCAAAGAACTTTCCATATGTGGAAATGCATGACTATTGTTTTTTAGGACAACTTAGGGATAACTTCACTCCTAATAAATTGTCTTCTCTTTCTTTCTTCAGTCTGTATAGCAATCCAGGTGGGATGCCTCCTTACCCTTCTCAAGGTTTTCCGTTTCTTCCTTCATATCCTCCACAAGAAGCTAACAGGAATATCACATCTTTGTCTGTAGCTGACACTGTTTCTTCTTCAACCACAAGTTACACCACAGCCAAGCCAGTGGCTCCTTCATTTGGCATCCTTTCAAGTCTGCCTTTACCTGTTCCCACAACAGAATCTTCAGCACCGGTTTGTATTTTCAGGAGTCTATATTTTGTGTCGGTGAAATAGGTATTCAGTTGGCTAGCATTTATTATGTCCATCTACTAAGATAGCCATGAAATAAAAGATAAATCATACCTATCATCTCAAATAAAAATCTCAAAAAGGTAACCAATAAGGAATTGCAAACATAGAGCTTCTAGAGATAGATAGTCGAGTTGTGGGAGACAACTGAGGTCATTGCGCCCAGAGACCAAGTAGAAGTAGTAAGGAAATGATATTCCAGTTTTTTACTTTATCCTCAGTGCTTCAGACCGCACCCAGTGGATGCTCAGTGAAAATGAGGTAGATAAATGGACAGATGATTTTATGCTTGAAGCCAGACAGATTTTTAAAGATGGCTATAAAATTTTGAGGATAACAAGAGGTACAAAGCACTAGGTGATTGAAAACATTGACAGAGGCTTTGCACTATATTCCAGGTGCAGTTTGTAAAGTTGGCTGTAGTAGATCTCTCTGCCATGTAGGATATACTGGACAAGGCACACAGTGTGATTATATAGGAGAAGTAGCTGTCAAATTAAAGATCTTTTGGAGCATGCTGAAGGTTTCCAACATTTTATTGGTTTAACAATTGCATGTTCATGAGTGAAACTGGTAGCTGTTCTCATGTAGGATATTGTAGAAAAAGGAGACCAATATTTTGTGCATACAGTATATCTGTAGATTTGGAGGCTGGCATAATGGTTCAGGCATTAACAGCCCATGCATTCACAAAGAACTGAGTTCGGAACCCCAGCACCTACCATGTAAATCCCAGCATGTTATTCCATGCCTATAATCCCAACACTGGCAAGTTAGGTACAAGATTTCCTGGGGTTTGCTAGCCATCCAGACTAGCCAATTAATTAGTTCTTGGCTGTGTGTGAAACCCTTTTGTGTCCCCTGTATGCACCCTGCCTCCTAAAAAACAAAAAAGTTCAGAACTGATTGAGAAAGGCATCCAGTGTTGATCTCCGGCCCGCACACACACCTATACCTATACTCACATATGCATACACACAAACATGAATATATATATGTATATATATATATATACATATCCATTACGTTTAACATTGCTGATTTTACAGTTTATAATTATTAAGAATACAAACCTGAATAGATTTTTTCTTTTTCCAAAATTTTTCATCATTGTGTTAATAAAGATTGTGAACAAACTATCATTTATTGGGTTTTTTGAGACAGGGTCTCACTAGATAGCTCTGGCTTTCCTGGAACTCACTATGTAGACCATAGTGCCCTTGAACTCAATAAGATCTGCCTGCCTCTGGCTCCTGAATGCTGGGATTAAAGGAATATGCCACCATACTTGGCAACAAACTGTAATTAATATATTAAAAATTTTAGGGAAAAATTTGGGGTGTTTTAATACATAAACATCATAAATATTCAAATTGGTAGTGTTTTTCATCTATCCTATTATCTTATTTGACTTAAATATGTAACTACTCAGTGCTGGCAGTTTAGTAATGTGTGCTTAGTGCCTTTACTTGAAAGAAGTTATTCATTTACATCTATGAAATCCACAGATAATTCTTTATACCTATTACAGATCTTCTCAGGAGATTTATTTTATAATCATATACTTACACACAGTCCAATACAGGGTCTTCTAAGGCTGAAACCCCTTCCCGTCAAAAAAGATAAACTCATATGGGTAACAGTACGTTGAGAATGGAGGCATACATGTACAGAACTCAGCCCTTGGGAAGAGAAGGCAGATAGTCAGAGTTCCAGACCAGCCTGGACTAATTAGTGAGTTCAAGGTCAGGCTGAACGACATGGCAAGACCCTATCTTGAATAAGTATAGTAAAAGTACATTGAGAAATAGACAGATATGAAGGAAATATATGTACATGTGAGGAGCAAAGATGAAGTTGTGATACGGAAAGCACCAATAGATACAATACTTTAAAGTCTATATAAGATAAATGTGATAAAGTTTATATAAGGTAAATAGAGTTGAGATTTAATATTCTTTAAAACTCTTCTTTAGATTAACCAAAATGGTTTTGGCTATAAGATGCCGGATATCCCTGATGCATTTCCAGAACTTTCAGAACTAAGGTAATAAACTTGAAGAGTAAAGAAGGTCCTGTCTGTTTTGTTTATAGTTTTGTTTTCAAATGAAGTAAAATGATTTAAAAGTTTTTCACTGTCCTTTTACTGTGGTTGTCTTAGTGGGTAAGTGGTATAAATCAGCTTTAGTATGATAAAGTGTAACATGACTTGTCTATAGCTAAGGATTGCTCTAGATGCCAAGATGTAATAATTACCAAGGTAAAAAAAGTTCTTTTCTCTCATGTAACTTGCAGACTTTGAGACTCATTTGTGAATATATTAGATTCTGATACTTTCAAAATATATCCTTCATTGTTAACCTTTAATAGGTTAATGTTGTGTATAGATGAGTAGACTAAATTTATCATAATATCTGAAACTAGCTTTAGAGCCAAATTTTTGTTCAAATTTATAGCAGATAATGTGGCATGGTTCAGGTTTAAGGTACCATTTTAAATATAATGTAAGATGTGCTACACAGAAAGCATTTTCTGGTCCCTTCATTTAGTGGGGTACATATGGTACCCACTAAGGATTTATAATATCCATAAAGGCTACTGTTATTTAAGACCATTGAATGTAATTAAAAATTTTCTTTAACTTTGTGTCTTTAGAATATATTCTACCAGGATTATACAGATTAAATCCTGTGAACAATCCTGTAATATATATAAAAAAAATGAAGTTTGACATTATTTGATCCAGTATTTTAGTTCATGGGTAAACCTCAGAAATAATTTTTAAAAATTCAAGTCCCACAGCAGAAAAGATACATTACATATATTTTATGGGTTCGATATGCATTATAATGTTTAACTGCCAGGAAATAAGACTGTTTTTCTGTTTTCCTTTTTAAAAGTTGACCTACTATAAAAACTTATGAGAATATCAGCACTACAGAAAGAGAAATAAGATAGTGCCATCACCCTCCATTATTTCTAGTCGTCCACATAGTTCTGACTCATTTCTGTGCTCCTCTATCCAACTCTGTTGGGGAACTGTGGGTATGAATCAGGCTTGCTCTCTATGGCTTCAGCAGTTTCTTTCTTTCTTTTTTTTTAAGCACTGCAGTGGCCTAGGCCCTCTCACATCAATCAATCCTACAGCTTTCAGTCAGAGTAGTCTTACAAAGGCATTTTCTCAGCTGAGTTTTCCTCCTCTTAGATGACTCTAGCTTGTGTCACATAAAAAAAAAAAAAAAAAAATTAACCATCACTCTGGTCAAGTTGGAAAATTGAACATTTATTATCATGAAGAAAAACTAGATGACTGATATTTACTAACAGTTTTGCTTTTTGTGTTGTGTCTTAGTGTGTCACAGCTCACAGACATGAATGAGCAGGAAGAGGTGTTACTAGAACAGTTCCTGATGTTGCCTCAACTGAAGCAAATTATTACTGACAAGGAGGACCTAGTAAAAAGTATTGAGGAATTAGCAAGTATGTTTCCTTTTGCTTTAATTCATAAGTACTGGGAAAAATATGATCTGTGCTGGGAAATAAGCCAGAGATTTATCTTACAGGAAAAAATCTCCTTTTGGAGCACAGCTTGGAAACCAAAAGGCAAACCGTTTTAGATAAGGTGAGTTACTGATCGTTTTTAAGACATTTTTACAGTTCAAAAATCAAATTAAATAGCAATTTTATGTTTTCTTTTAGTATGAATTACTTATACAAATGAAGTCTACCTTTGAAAAGAAGATGCAAAGACAACATGAACTCAGTGAGGTATGATCAACTAGTTATTTCTGGTCTTCATGGGAGCTGCTAATCTGCAGGTGCTTAGTCACTTTCCTTGCTTTCACTTCATCGGAAACTGTTTATTGCCCACCACATCCCGGCTTGAGATAATTCTTGAAATACTTAAAAATATAAAATAAAGAAACCCTTCACTTCCCCAGTTCCTCGAAATGTGCTCAATATAGAATTTCTAGTGATGATGAATTCTCTGAAGTACACTTAAAGTATGGATTTTTATTGGGATTTCATTGAATCTGTAAATAGCTTTTGGTAAAGTGGTTGTTTTCATAATTCTACCAGTCCTTAAGCATGGGATGTATTTCTACTTTCTAGTGTCTTTCTCTGTCTCTTTCCTTGGTTTAATGTTTCCATTCGTTCATTGTCTTTTTTTCTCTAGGTATTTTCTTTTCTTTGAGGTTAGTATGAATTGGAGTGTGACATTGAACTCTTTCTCTGTATGTTTGTTAGTGGTGTATAGAAAAGCTACTGATTTGTGCAGGTTGTTTCTGTATCCTGCCATGCTTCTGAACTTATCATTTCTAGAAGTTTTTTGATAAAAATTTTGTTAGCTCTAAAGGGTAGTATCATGTTATCTGCAAATAGAGATAGATTGACTTTTTTCAATATTTGTATCCCTTTAATTTTTTTCTCTTATTGTTCTAGCTAGTATTTCTAACACAATATTAAAAAGGAGTAGGAATAATGGGCATCTTTGTCTGGTTCCTGAATTCAGTGGGGTTGTGTTTCTGCTTGCTTTTCTCTGTTTAGAGTGATATTAACTACGAGTTTCTTGTATATAGCTTTTATGTGTCCAGGGCTCCCTCTAGCCCTACATTGTCTAGGAATTTTATTTTGAAGGCATATTAGAGTGCTCCTTCCATAGATCTTTGAATATCTGGTAGCATTCTGCTGTGACTCCATCTGGCCCTGGACCTCTTTTAGCTGGTAGGTTTTTTTTTATTACTTTGTGTTTTGTTTTGTAGACTTCTTGGTTTAATTTTGGTGGTTTGTCTAAATCTAGAAATTCATTCATTTCTTTTAGGTTTTCCAGCTTAATAGAGTACAGGTATTTAAAAGTATTCCCTTATGATATTTTGAATTTCTTTGGAGTCTGCTGTAATGTTTTTATATCATTGGTGATTCTGTTACTTTGGGTCCTCTTTCTTTGTTGTAAACTGGGCAAGGGTCTGTCAGCCTCATTTAACTTCTCAAAGAATCAGCTCTTAGATTTGTTGATTCTTTGTATTATTTTCTTTGTTTCCATTTTATTGATTCATGCTCTGATTTTTATTATTTCTTGTTGTCAGCTAGGTTTGAATTTGATTTGTTCCTTGTTTTTACAAATTTTTGAGTTACATTATGTCATTTATTTGTACTCCTGATATTTTAATGTAGGTTCTTAGACCTATCAATTCCCTTTGTAGGACAGCTTTCAGTGTGTCCTGGATGCTTTATTTTATTGTGTCTTCATTTTCATTTAGTTCCAGGAAATTTTTTTCTTTCTTTCTTGATTTCTTCTTTGACCTATTTATCATTCAGTAATGTGTTGTTTAATTTCCATGGGTTTATGGATGTACTAGATATTTATTTGCTGTCAGTTTTGAGTTTTACAGCATTGTATTCAGATACAAGGAGTGATCTCAGTGTTTTTAAATTTATAAGGATTTGTTTTGTATCCCAGGATGAGTATTTTTTTTTTAGGAACGCTTCCCTGTGCTGCTGAGTAGAACATGTATTGTTTGGTGGCAGAGTAGGATATCCTGTAGCCACCTGTTACATCTATTTGATGTATGAAGTCAATTAAATTTTATGTTTTTGTGTTTATTTCTTTTTCCAGATGGCCTGTCTGTTTGGAGAAAGTTGAGTATGGAAACTACCTGTTAATAATAGATTAATTGAAATTTGTGTCTCTAAATCCAGGAGCACATTTTTAATGAAATTGCACGCACCAAAGTTTGACACATATATGTTTAGGATACCAATGTCATCTTAGTTAACTGTAAGAACATTCCTCTCTCTAACGCTAAAGTGTGTTCCTCGGAGACAACAGGTAGATGGATTTTGTTTCCTGATCCACTTAATCAGCCTGTGTCTTTTGATTGGAGGTGGCACAACCCACAATTGGCTGGGTCATCCCCCATCAGTTACTAGTTAAGAAAAATGCTCCATAGGCTTGCCTGTAGCTCCGTCATATGAAAGTACTTTGTTAATTCACGCTCCTTCCTCTCAGATAGATGACTCAGTTTGGGTTAAGTTGACGTAAAACCAGCCAGCACAGGTCCTGATATTTTATCTTCTGATTGATTCATTCTCTTTTAAAGATGTTCCTTTGAGTTTTCTAGTCATTAGATATTTTAATTTCATTTTGATTTCAGCTCTAGTCTTCAGTGTTTCTATCTCCTGATTGAATTCTTTCCTCAAATATTGTATTGTCTTTGCCATTTCCACTAGCCTTATGATTTTGTTTCCTTGTGCATAACTCAGGCAGGCATTTATTCTTTTTATGTACATTCTTTCTCTTTAAGTTCATTGAGCTATTTCTTTGTGTGTTCTTTAAGTTCCTTTGCCTTTTAAATTCTCTGTCCCGGGATTCACCTAGGTTATTCTCATTGGCAACCATTTCTACAGGACTGGTAGATTTGGAAAGAAGATACTGGCCTGATCTTTCATATTTGTAATTTTGTGATGAGATCTGGCCATTTGGCCTTCTTTTGTTAGTTCTAAGTCTGATATAATAAGAGCATGGTAGAGCAGAGGGAATGTAAGTTTTGGGTTTGGCTTAGAGGTTGGAAATGGTTTGGGAGGAATGAAATCTTGGGGATGAGGATACTGGAGTGGTATACAGGGTGTGCCTTCTTGCCCATGTCTGAAGTGTGGGAGTAGATTTATTTGGATGTGCTGTGGAAGGGCCCTGTTGGTTAGAGGGTAGAAGTGGTCAGTCTTGATGGAAGCCTGGAGATTGGTTTGGGCATAGACAGGGCTGGACAGACTCTGCCTGGGCACTGGATGTGGGTCCTGGGCTAGATGTAGCAAGTTGGCAAGTGTGTATGTGTGTGTGTGTGCACATGTGTGGTGGGAGGCTTTCATACAGACTCAACCAGACTAGACCCTGGAAAAGGAAGTGGGGGATCTAGCAGGGTGAAAAGTTAAAATGTGATGTGGGAGGGACTTGTGGTATGGTAGCAAGTCACTGGGGAGATGGTCTTGTTGGAAATAAGTTTGGGAAGGGGGTTAACCTGTTTGTTTGAACAGGATCTTTATATAGCCCCAGCTGTCCTGAAACTCACTATGTAGAACAGGCTAGCCTCAGAGTCACAGAGATCGGTCTGCCTCTATCTCCCAGTTCCTGAGATTAAAGGCATGTGCCATCACCCCTAAGAATTTTTAATTTATGTGTATGGGTGTTTTACTTTCATATATGTCTGTGACCCATGGGCACACAGTGCCAGAAGAGGCTAGGAGGAGGAGGTAGATCCTTTGAAACTGGAGTTAATCCTTGTGAGCCTCCTTGTGGGTGCTGAGAATCACTCGGGTCTTCTAGAAGAGTAGTGAGTGTTCTTAACTACTGAGCCATCTTTTTAATCCTCAAATAATAAGTTTTTAAATCAGTAAATATTAATGCTTCAACATCGTTCTTCTTTTCAAGATCTCTTGGCTATTCGAGATGTCATATGAATCAATTGCATTGATTCTCTAGGTCTTTGGGGTTGTTAGCATTGTCATAACAGTATTAAATCGTCCAAGCTTTCCAAGGTATGACCACTTATTTATCTTTAGGGTTTGTGCTTTTTTTCTCAGCAATGTTTTCAGTGTGCACATTGTCTGCTTCTATGGCTATATTAAATCCTTTTACTTTCGTCACATTTGGTTCTTTAGAAATGAATTACTGTCTAACCTGTATATTCTCTAGGAGAGACAAGAACAGGAATACAAGGCAAAGGTTGTCATTAGGTGATCTGAGTAGGTATTCTCACAATGATTAAATTCCGAAATATCCAGGGTATTATAATGGTTTATCAGCTTCTCACTTAATAGTTTATAGCTTGTGATTTAGTTTCTTCTGTGTTTGGTATCTGTACTTGCATTTTATGTCAACATGACACACATTATGTTCATCAGAGAGGAGGGAGCCCCAGTTGAGGAAATGCATCCATATGATTAGGCTGCACTCAAACCTGTAGTACATTTTCTTAATTACTGATTGATGGGAGAGGGCCTAGCTCACTGTGGGTGCTAGCTCCAGAGGGCTGGTGGTCCTGGGTGCTATAAGAAAGCAGGCTGAATATGCCATGAGAAACAAGCCAGTAAACATCATTCCTCCATGGCCTCTGCATCAGCTCCTGCCTTCAAGGTTCTTGTTCTGACTTTCTGATAATGAATAGTGATGTGGGAGTGTAAGCCAAATAAACATTTCCTTGCCCAATTGTTTGTTTTTTGTCACGTTGTTCCATCACAGCAATAGAAACCCTAACTAAGGTGCTATCTATCCAAGTATCCAATGTGAATATTGCTTTCTATATCTCAGTTGATCTGAGAAATATAAAATAATGAAATGCTTGATATTTGTTTGTTTGTATGTTTGTTCACAGAGTTGTAGTGCAAGTGCCCTACAGGCAAGATTGAAAGTAGCTGCACATGAAGCTGAGGAAGAGTCTGATAATATTGCCGAGGATTTCTTGGAGGGAAAAACTGAAATAGATGATTTTCTCAGTAGCTTCAAGGAAAAGAGAACAGTATGTAATACTCTTCAATTGAGGATAAGTGACAACATAATATCCAATTTCTTAAGTATATTCATAAGTAAAAACCTTTAACACATAACCAAGCTGGAGTTTTGAGTACTGAGTGGACTCTGAAAAGCCTCTTTGGGGAAGGATAGCAGCACCCTACTGTCGCTTTAAAACTGTTAGTTCTGAGTACATAACCAGGTAATCTCATGATAGTTCTCTTTCAGAAACAATAGTATCTGTAGCATTGTGTAGGAGCTGGCAAATCAGCTTAGTTTGAGCTTATTGTCTATAATATTCTCCTGAAAAACAACCTGTTTTTATAAGTTGTTTAAATACAGAATAACATATAGAAATTTAAAAAAAAATAAAAGAACAGCTTCTATTCTGGTGTTTTCATTGTATTCGAGGAAAAAAATCTACTTAACAATTTTATAATATTTATTGTAGTCCTAAATATTTATCCAGTATCTTTGAAACAATCATATTTGTTTGATATTTAATAAGTTTTATGAAATGTTTGTGTGGGGGTGTGTTTGTGTGAGTGTATGCTTGTATGCACTTAGCATGTTAAAGCAGACAAGGCAAATTTTATTCAATTGTCTCCTTTTCATGAGAGACAACTGAAATTCAGAGATGGTTAGTAACTTGCCTGTGTCTATAATATTAGTAAGAAATTGGTTTCTAACCCCTTCTATTCTGTATAGCCAATTGAAGTTTTTGTTTGTTAATCTTCCATGATTAACTAAGGAAGGGCTTAGTTTGAAATTAACATTTTGTTTTCAAACAAAGCTCAATGTATTCTGTATTCCTAAATTCTGAGGAATTATTTGCTATTTTCAATGTTAAAAACTTAAAGGAATATTAACAAATTAAAATAATGTAGGAAGTAGTGGAAAAAGTGACTGGTATTTTAAATAATTTGTCTTCTAGATTTGCCACTGTAGAAGAGCTAAAGAAGAGAAGCTTCACCAGGTGATTGCAATGCACAGCCAATTTCATGCTCCTCTATAGGTAAATTGCATTCCAGCTAGTATCTCAAGGCTAATACCAAGTATTCCTTAACTGAATTGTTCTTAGCAGTACCTGTTCACACTGTCATTGTAGTTGTTGTATGTAACAAAATGCTGATAATTGTATATTAAACGCATCACTGTGTAAGTAAGCCTATAGTCAGTTAAAACCTTAGTATTTTCTCAGTGTGACAGTCTCTTTAAGGAAAGTTAGCTTACCTGCGTGTTTCTCATTCTACCACCATCTACTCATCCATGCTCTTGGAGCCCTCAGTCTCTTTCCTTTCTCTTCTCTACTTGTTTTGGGGATGTTTTGTTTACAAAAGAAATTAATGCCCTGTATTAGTTCTATTGGTGTGATAAAATACCACATGCAAGACAAGTTTTTGGTGGAAAAGTTTGAGTTTATGGTTCCTGAGGGAGAGTTCATAGTGATGAGAGAGGCATAGATACATCAGGCAGCTGAAGCAGGAAGCGATGAGATGATATATTCAACCTCAAACATGAAGCAGAGTACAAATTTTTAGTACAGGGAGACTACAAACTCTGAAAGCCCACCCATAGTGATATACTAGCAAGGCTGCACCACCTCCTGACACAGCACTAAGTACTCAGATATCCAAGCCTATGGGGGACATTGCTCATTCAAACCACCACATACCCCAGCAACCTTAAATACAAGCTTATTACAAACAGGAATACAAAGACACTTGCTAGAGCCAAAATGAAGAAGGTATAGCCCAGTTACTGAGAGTAGAACCACTAGAAGCCTCACAGGAACCCAAACAGCTTCCTTCTCAGGTTGGCATCCTCTCCTTTTGAGTCTGGTTTTTGTGTTTGGATCCTGGGCTCAGACCCATTTCTTTCCATGTGCTGAGCAAGCCCTCTAGAGTGATCTACATCATCAGCCCTTATTTCTCAGTAACCCATCAACCATTACTGCTCATAGCAGCCTCTTGAGTTGTAATACAAATGTAATACAAATCCCTAGGAGAGATGAAGGAAATTACCTCCCCTGGCCTATTCAGTGTGGGCTAGAAATGAGGACCATGTATGTGGTCCTGTACACAGCCATCGGAACCACTTTAAGGAGGCACAAGGGGGATTCTTTGGAAAGAGAAGATGTGATGGGCATTTCTCATCTTTAGTTCAAATTGCATTACTACCACCTTTGGATCTTATTTTCTAAATTGAACTCATTTTTGTACTTTGTACAAAAGTACTGTGTACTTTTTGTGTTCATGCCAGCTCAACAAGTAGAAATAAAGTATTCTTTAGGAACATACTGAAATGTTTCCCTCCCAGTCGTTTCAGTAAATCTAAACCAGAAGACAGTATAAAGGAATGAGAGTTAATATCTTACATTAAATCTGAAGTTTAAATTTTTTTCATTTCAGATTTTCCAGAAAACATGAATCAAGAAAGAAATGGGACCCAAAATTAAGCACATTGTTTTATATTTATGACTTACAAATTGGCATTTCATGACCATGGCTGAAATCCAGATGCACTCTATAGATTGTGTACATGACCGAGACTGATTTTGTATAGATTAGAATGACTGCTATATTTGTTTTCAGAGATTTTTCTGCACTATTTGCACTAAAATGTTTATTGTTGACAAATTCTGTATTTAAGTTCCTCTGCTATTCCTGATTAAACGCCTATGCATGTAATTATAGCTAGTTTTTAAATATTTTATAAAACTACTGATTAACATTTATAGTTTTAATTTGGAGCTGCCTCATTTCTTTATCAAGAATGGTTATTACTTAGATTCTTTACTTCTGAGCCACAGAAAAGAGAAA